CCCCAAAACCCCAAAACCCCAAAACCCCAAAACCCCATAAGAGTACAATTTCGTAAATAGGATGACAAGAAAATAAGAAACAATAATTTACTTAATTAAAGACACTATGTATATGCGAACTTATATTTCAAACAAATACTTGTTTATTACCTGGTTTTTCATATTACTTTTAGAAGCTTACATTTATGATAAGGCTATTTCAGAAATTTAGATTAGCTCTGAGATCAGCTTTTGAGGTTGAGTTAGCATAAGAGCCTCGGCTTGGTCTTGAGTTGCTTGTGTGTTAGCCTCTATATTTCTTTTCTGAGTTGCGCTCTTTGGCACTTACAAGATAGTTGCCTTGGAATGCTTCACCTTTGACTGACTTTAGTCTGTCAATTGGACTCATGTCCTCCATCTTCAGTGACATAGATTTCTTATATAGAGAGTGATTATTTCTAACGTAATCAGATTCCTTTTATAGCAAGAAAAACTATTGAGGTCCTAGGACTGAACCTGGTCTGGCTATACGAATCCATCCAATAAACTATTCAGCAGGAATCTAATAGTGCTTCATTGCATATAAACCGATAAGTGTACCAGTTCTACCGAGACCAGCTTTACAGTGCACAGATATAGCTCCAGAGTTTGGTGTTTGGAAATGTCTTTCACAAATATTCATGAATTCATCTACTATTTCATCAGATGGGTTTGATCCATCAACAAAGAACAAATCTGTGTGAGATACTCCATTCTTGATAAACTTAGTTCTGTCGTATTTTGCTTCATTGAGTCTGATAACTTTTTTAACGTTCCAAAGCTTAAATATGTCACAATACTCCTCTGGAGTGAATCCTGATCTCTGATTTTCCTCTCTTTTATCGATTGGTCCCATAAAGGCTACAAATTTTCCTGGAATGATCCAATTCAAGTCTCCATTATCTACTCTTTCATAGAATTCATACTCCTTGACATTGAAAGTCTTGAAGTTGTACCAGTTGTGTTTAATTCCCTGTTCCAATCCTTGAAGACAGTGAAGAATAGTGCACTCGTAGTAGCATTCACCTTTTGATGCATCTCTGAATGGTTTGAATTGATTTTAATAAAGCTTGAATTTTTCGAAGGCCTCTTATGGACTCATTTTGAGGATGATGACCATAAATGCTCCCATTAAGAAAGCTGAGTTTGCCAATTTTTCCGGTTTGCTCGAGCAGTAGTGGAAGATTTTGTATTGTTTGTAGGAATCTTCCTATAATAAAGTGGTTTAGTATCAAATTTGTTGAATCAATAGTTTATGTCTTAATTAGTGAGTGGATGCAACTTTCCCTCAAAAATATTTGTAATCATTACTTACTTATAACAATCTTGCTAATTCTCTGACATATCTGTGCATCATAGCAAGGTTCAATGGACCAAAATCTTGATTAAATGGGAAGTATTGAAGATCCTATTGAATAAAGGTTAATAATCTTGATAGTTTGATAGTATTTCTTACATTATCGATGCAGAAAAAGTATGCTGATGAGTAATTTTGAGGTGGTTTAGAGTCTGAAACCCAGAATAATTTATCTAAAGAGAGGTTATTCATATTAAAAAGTCTTACTAGGTATGATTTCAATGGGTGTTCCAAAACAATTCGTTGACTTCTGAGGTGAATCATGATTGTAAACATTGATTAAGTGAGATGCCTTTGTAGGAGTAGTGTTTATTGTCTCGTGTCTTGACTTCAACATAAGATTATTTAATTTTAAATTTTATTTAGAAGCATAAAATCAAACTTTATATAATTCTTTTTTATTTCTATTAATTTTAAATTATTCTAATTAGCCCTATATAATATTAATGACTCCCGCACTCACGGGGTTTTGGGGTTTTGGGGTTTTGGGGTTTTGGGGTTTTGGGG